TTTAAATTAATATGACATTGTAATTTACTACTCGACAAACATAAATTGGTGTAAGTTCACCTTGCCTTCTTAAAACTTAGCTCAATGTGTATACTTAGAATATGCTTGGAATCTCCATATGTGATTTTTTTTTTCTTTTTAGATAAGCATGTGTGATTAATAAAGAAACTAGTTGGAGTGTGTAAGAAATACATACTTATTGTATTCAACTTTATTATACCTAATTTTTTAATTTAGAATGTTTAATTTTAATTGTCACCTTTTTCTTTTTAGATTATTATTTAATATATTTATTCTTATTTTACCTTATTTTAAAAAGATAGCTATAATGTATATTATTTAAGTGGTGATCAATTAGAGATAACTACAAAATTTCATCAATAAATTATTATATATTTTTATTTTATTAAAAAAATTTAGGTTTTATTAAAGTTAAACAAATAGAATATATAATTAATAATTAACTAGAAAATTTGAGAAACAGTAATGGACCAAATTTATTTTGAATTTTAAAGATGTAATTAATACATCTTTTAATAATTAAGTCATATGAAAAATTAAACAAATTGATATATTAGTTTTAACATCAATGCTATGCATATTAATTGTTGATGGATGTTTTTGTAAAAGGTCAAACTTGGATTCGGATAGTTTCCACATCACTAAGACCCTCCTTGATCTAAGCACCCATTAATGCCTTCAATGTGCAACACATGGCTAGGCCTAGCAATATCTGATGCTGCAGTATACGGCTGCATCGCCAGAAATACAAAAGAAGTCTCAACGGTATCTAATGCTGCAGTACATAGCTGTATCGCCAAAAATGCAAAAAAAATCCCAGTGATATCTAATGCTGCAATACATAGCTGCAGTACATAGCTGCATCGCCAGAAATACATAAGGAAGTCTCTTTCTTTTATTATTTCCTTATCTATTAAATTTCATCATTTTCATCAACTGATCATTATTCCTTTATGTAGGTCATTAATAAACCCATGAATCCAAGCTCATGGGGATATTCAGGATAAACTATGAGAGTAGTGGCTTGGCAGGCATGGATGGGTAAACGTTGCCTGTTTGGCTAAGCAAGGTATTTGCACCAGTGAAGCTTGGCACTGGTGATGTTGCCCGACTTCACCAGAAAGGGCTGGGTGGCAAAGACGTGGAGGCAAACTTGATCCCCAAAACTATACTGTTTGATGCTAACTAGAAGCTTGGAATCTCGTTCAAAACCAACCAAAGATGTTGTTTTGGTCACCATCAACAACTTGTAGCCATGTTCAATGCAAAGGTAACTGCACAGTGTTGAAAGTTGTTGAAAATGGTGACTGCACAAGTTCCCTGGCCTTGGGAACTGTTGAAAAAGATCTAATTTCGCTAGGAAAATCTACCAAAATCTTGGTTAGACCTTGAAAATATATAACAATATCTTGGGCAACCCTTGGCAATCTTCCAAAATCTTAGACAGATCTGATTTTGCCAGCTACACTCAAGCACCTCCCCAAAAATGGAATTTCGTATGACCAAAGGAATTCCCAAAAATAGGCAATTTCTAATCCATCGTTGGAACCAGCGAAACTTCACCAGAACCATTGGGAAATCAAAAAAACAACACCAAAAAAGCGGCAACCAAGCCCAAAAACAAACAAAAAACGACACAGCACACAAAAATACACACAAGACCACAATGCACACATCAGACACAAAAACAAAAAAAACAAAAAAACCACACCACACACATATATTATTTTTCATTCATTTTTCAACAGAAAAGACCAAATTTTTCACAACTTCAGCTTCCCTCTCACATACCAGGCCTACTTTCTTCCTCTGAAAAATACTTCATCCTCACCCACTCACTCTACACACTAAAATTACCTAGAAATCACCATTTTCTTCATATTTTTTGCACTTCCAACACTGCTGAACATTTTCCAAACTTACAGAACATCATGGCTGGGAGACAGCATACTACAGATTCATTTTTTGGGTTATCTTCATGAGCATCAAAGGTTCAAGCTAAAGAGTTAGCATAAAAAATGGGATTAAGCCCTCCACTCACAAGACCCCAAGACGGTCATCCTTCCTTCTCCCATCACTACTTTCAAGTTAATTCCTTTTGTCTTGTTAAACCTTGAGGGAGACCATTGTGCCTTTTATCTACAATGTGACGATTGCTTATTATAGAGTACAAGTATTTGTCAAGGATAATAGAGGGCACATTCATTGTCTTTGCTATTGTGCTACAATACACTATGTAAAAATGCGCTTCTCAAGTTATAATTTTTGACCCTTACATATTTTTTATCCTTGCTGCTCATACAGCAACGTACATTTCATTTTCATTATTTTTGATAGTTGTGTAATCATTCTTGTTATCCTATGAGCACCATCATCACTCTACTCTTTCTGGCTTGGCTAGGGACATTTTATTTTCGGTCTTCGCTGAAGAAGCTCTATTTCTAGACTTCGCTAAAGAAACTTTACTTCTAGACTTTGCTGGAGAATTTGCTACTGACCAACATCGCTGGACATCTTGGAACTCTATTGTCATTGCCAGCTCTCCTTCTCGGCTTGGCTAGAAAACTTACACCTTCAGACTTTGTTAGGGAATTTGTTGTTGACCAACATTGTTGGGTGGAACGAGACAGCCTGTGGCATGTAGCCTTTCGCACGTGAAATGGGTGCTGCCAAAAGGACCCTCCTCATCATTCGCGGGTGGCATCCTAGTCAACCTCCACATCATCACCGCTATTGACTCATCAACCTACATCACCACCACCCCCAAACATTAATTTAATTAGTTAGTTGATAAAATTAAAGTCAAATTTATTTTTTGATGAAAAGTTGCATTTTATTGATATATGACCATAAGAGTTATAAGACCAACCCAAATGAACTAATACACCAAATGTATTATACTCATAAAATGTGTAAAAATGCAAAATCAAATAATTTATGTCTACATAAATATCGTAGCTAGAGACTTGAACACAAGATTTAAAAGTTAAGCCGTATTCAAGCATAATTCATCTAGAGAATAAATTGGTTAGGGCAAAAAAATTTAGCTAAGGGCCCTATCTCCAACCATGCCTTCAACAGTCAAATCAAGCACAACAACTAATCTAAATCTAGCCAATATCATGTTCAAGTTGCCATCCTCTTTTGACAAAAGTGAATTTTGATAAAAAGTATTAAAAACGTTGAGGTAGGAACCGTCAAAAAAAAAAAAGGAGAGAGAAAGAGAGGAACCTCCCCAAGAGAGGAGAAAACTCTCACCTTTAGCCATTTACCCTAATCATTAAAGGGGAAAGAGGCAACGCCAACTGTGGGGAAGAAAAAAACAAGAGAAAGAGAAGAAAATTAGGATAAGTGAAGGAAGAGAGCCAGGGTTTTGCAGTTGCAAATTTATTGATATACCAAAAATTTTATTCTTTTAATATAACTTAATGGTTAAAAAGGTATATTAAATACATTATTAACGTATATGAGCACATGCTAGAAAAAACTCATTAATTTTATATACTAATTTACTTTGTGACTAAGTTTGAATTAGGATCCGGAGTAATTGATTTCCTGCATCACATATTATGATTCTAACGTTCTTGTAGTGACGGTGAAGTTTGCTAACAATAGGTCGAATAGAATGATTGAGGCATGGTTGGAACATATATAATTAATGAACTGTAGTATATACACACTACCATATGTAGGCACATCCATTAGGATTAGGATTAGGATTAGGATTAGGATCAGGATCTGAGCAGAAATATACTAAGTTCTTGGCCGGAGCTCCCCCCTGCCCCTGGATTAAGCATGTGAAACGACTCTGAGTCAACCGACCCAATCACTCTGTCGAAGCTAGCTCGCAGGTACATCAGGTCTCCATCCTCTGAGTCTGACTTGGGTGCAATAGGAAGAACCCCCGCGCCAACGGAGACAGACTGCATCAGCCTGAGCACCTCCGCATCATTCGCACCCATTTGCCTCCTAATAGCAAACCCCACTTTCCTTCCGTTGCAGTACATAGACCACACTGCCACCCCGTAAAGCGAACAAGATCTCTCCTTTTGTCTATCACACTCCAGTGCGATCCTCAACATACCGGACTGCATCTCTCTGGCGAGGTACGCGGTGGGGACTGCAAACTCGAGGAGGAGAAGGGGAGAGCCACGCGTGTCATCCTGGAGACAGAAGCTGACACGACCTTTACGGTACCCAAAGAAGGTGCCCGTTAAGGTTGAGGATTGGGTGTCGGTAGAAAGGGAATCGTTATGATCAGATGGTTGGAAGCCGCAACAAGGGACCATACACTCAACTAGGGAGCGGAAGGAGCGGCGGAACCTGACTTCACGGCCACAGTCAACGGAGGTGGGAGTGTCTATTATGTAGAGAGGGCCTCTCTGCCTCCCCAAGTCTATCATCATCCTCATGGCCGGCCGGCTTGCTAATCAAATCGAAATGAAGAATGAAGACTGAAGAGAAAGAATGAGGTGTGAAGGGTAATAAATAGGGAAAGGGCAAAACCGGTGGGAGTGGAGTGGTGGGCGCGCAATAATTCTGCCCTGCCCACGAGGGGGAGGGACCCAATCGCTTTGGGTGGTGCATGCGCGCGCGCGCGTGCGTGATTGTAAAACTTAGCCCGACCGTCAGAAATCTCAAATCAGAATGAACCATCATCACCATCATCATCATCATCATCAATTTTGCTTCGTTTTACGAAGGAGAAAGACAATTGGATTGAGGTCATCAGTGATTAATCATTAATTAATTAAAACCACTAACCTTGCTCTGTTGCTACACGTGTTGTCCGTCCTCTTCCTCAATCCCTCTCTTCTCCTGTCCTTTTTTGTGAAAAAAAAAAGAAAAAAGAAAAAAGAAAAAAGAAAAAAGAAAAAAGAAAAGATAATCCGTATTTTACTTCGGTCACTGTCTCAATGACCCCGCGTCAATGAATTTCACCTCGGTTTAGACCTCCGAGGCTATGAGTCACCTACTGTAATTCGGCTACGGCATAAGTGACTTCGAGTAAATAATTTTTATTTTAGTTATAACTTCAGTAAGTCAACTCTAATACTTTTTTATTTATCTTTCCAACTAATTATACAGTACTCTTACCACCTCTAACAACATCATTCACGAGTAAATGACTTCGAGGGAAAAATAGTGTAAGAATAAGTCCAAGGTTCTTAATCTCAAATGTACTGTTGCGTTTTTTTAATAATCGAAGTAAAGTTTAAATCTAGCACTTCCCAGTTAAACAGCTGTACGATAGGTACAGTGAACTTGTTCACACCTAATTCCCAAGTCCTAAGATAATTGCCTGAAGGGACATGTCAGACTCCGATTATCTTGTTAAGCAAGTCACGTGAATACCTTTTTAAGACCTGTAAATATCCCCAAGGGCTACCTCAAAAAGGTAATTGAAACTGACCTAAAACACCTTTTTTTTTATTATTCTAAAGATAGATTTGATTATTGCTGACTTAAGTATTGGAGTATTTACCATGAGGACCCACTTCGAGGCTTTGTAAGTTTATCTGAAGTAAAGATCCAAACTGAAGAAGGACTTCTAATTTGGTGCAATTACAAATGCACTACATACTAAGTAGAACTACTATAGTTTTACTACATATATGATGGTAGTAATATAACAATGCGGTTAATTTTTCACTAATTAAGATTACTTGTACAATTAAGTACATGTCTTAAGTGGGGATGCAGGATTGAATTGTGAATTTTATTAATTTTGATGATTATTAGTATATAGAGAAAAGTATGGGAATGAGCCCCAATTTGGTAGTGATAAAAATAGAATAAAATAAAGTAGAGGGAGTGGGTTGAGTGGGTGGGTAGCAATTTGGCATGCATTCCAGCATGCAGCAGACAATGATTAGACCCAATCAGTCATGCCTGTCCAAATGTCTCTATGTTTTTGGCTATCTGTCCAATTAATGTCAATATGTCAGCTTTTTGTCCAAAAAACAGACAATCACATTTTTAGCTGCATGCATGCATGCCGCACTAGTCACCGGTCCATTGATTTCATCATATGGATACTAAAAGCAAAAGGCCGATCCAGGAAGATATCATGGCATGGGTGAGGGTGACTTAATTTTGCTAACCTGGTCCAACTCTTATTATGTTTACATGCATAAATAAAGCTAATATGAGGATTTTATTTTTCTTTTCCTTGATGTATAAAATAAATTAATAATTAATAATAAGATCATCACTAGAGTTTAATTGAATATATGTCAAACTTTTTTCTTTTGATGGGATTTTAACTTGTAAGTGATGAAGAAATTAGGAAAATGATTGGTATACTCTTGGTTTAATATATTTTTTGAAATACTTTCAGTTTAGTCTTTAAAAATATAATATAATATAAATACAGTCAATTCAATTGATTCATGTATTCTATGTATATAATTATATCATTTAATTTATCTGTCTTTAATTTCAAACTAAAAAATAATGATTTCTTAATGAGTGTGTCACGTTGTGTGTTAAACCAAAATCTGTACCAATTATTATCCAAGAAATTAAATCGAGGAGTGTGTCTCTTTGTCTAGACAAAAAAAGAATTGAAGGAGGAAAGAAAGGGCTCCTACAGTGTATGGAATCACGGGAGTTTTTAAACTATATGCATCATGCATGCATATGAAATTAAGAATAATTAAATTAAAGAAAAGTATAAAGCTAGGAGAGAAAATACAAAACCAGCATTCAAATCATGTCCAATAAAGCTTTTAATTTGGGGGTCCACATTTGCACCACCAAATATATATATATCAATCAGGACTACTTAGCCACGGTTCGTGTTTTTGGATTAATTGTTGTTTTCTTTATAAAAGTAGGCAAAGGCTGATTAATTAAGGACATCCGTTGTTGTATAGGTGAGGGACAACATAAAAATTTATTTCTTTGGATATATTATTTCAAAGATGGAGCCAATTAATGGAAATCGCTTTCCCATCCCTCATTTCATTTAATTTAAAGATTTTTTTACTTGTATTTTTAGGATACAAATTAAGGGTATAATTAATACATCTTTTGGTCATTAATTCTAATGAAAAAACAAAAAGGTTAATACTAATTTTAATATCAATACCACATATCTTAATTTAGTTAGTTAGTTGTTAAAATTAAAATCAAACTTTATTTTTTTATGTATTTTAATAACAAAAAAATATATTAATTGCTTTCTTAACTTGTATTCTAAAAAATTAAAAATACATATTAAAAAAACCCTTAATTTAATTTAATTATGGGTTTTTTAACTTAAGTCTTAAGGACATGAGTTAAAAAAGTAATTAATGTATTTTTTTTATCATTAAGTTACATAAATAGAATAAAATTTGACTTTAATTTGAACAATTAATCAATTAAATTAAGACACATGCATTGATACTAAAATCAATATCAACTTTTTTAATTTTTCATAAAAATTAATAACTAAAAAATAGATTAATTATACCTTTAATCTATATTATAAGGGCATAAATTTAAAAAATTTCCTTTAATTATAACTAGAACTATAATTAATTATAACACTCGTGGATCCCATTATTATTTGTGCACTTATAGTGATGAATTGTTTGCATTGATGGATCATAGAGGGTAATAACTTTTATCCCACGTCATGCATTGTAGGAACACATCATAACTCCTATCATTTCTTTACGGACAGAAATTTTGCTTTCAACATATTGCCCTCAATCTAAAACACACACATATATAGTCAACGATTTAAATAATTTAGTG